TGGCTCTGGTCTCTAGGCACTCCGTTAGCTTCAGTTTTCGCTGATTCTCAGAGTATTTCCAAGTGCGTGTTCTTGGAAGAAAAGCAAAATGACCACTGTTTTTTCTCTTTTTGGGGGGTCAGGGGGGACAAAGCAGTTCATCCATGATGAATTATACATTTTCTCCATGAAAAGTTACTATAAGCAGAGCTTTATGACAAAACAAAACAACAGGGTACTGTCTGCTCTGTAGTGTATTGCCCTGCTTTGGAGAGGCTGCATCTGGGTGGCATGTCCTTTGTCATCTAGTTGTGCTGAGAAGATGTAGGGGACATACAGTTAGTAAAGTAGAGGTCCTTTGAAGGGACTGGGGCATGGAGGTACTATAATTGACATGCCTAGCACAACAGTAAATTATATTAAATAAATTAATATGTGTAAAATTATATAGTAATATGCTCCAATGTATGTATTTATAAGGTGCAAAAAGCACTTGCCAATTACTATAAATCTAAAATAAAATACAGTATCCCTGAAACTAATAAGCTAAATCTGTGACAGAATATCATTTAACATAAACATTCAACTCATACATGTCACAGCTATATTGCATAATAGGACCTAATTTACACTGTTACTATTATATCTATATGAATAAATGCCATGAACATTTCCATCAGATAAAAAAGAGAATAAAGCCTAAATGAGGAGTCAAATTAAGAGCTGGATGAGTTTAGACATTATTGGGTGTTAATGGTCCTTTCCTGAGGAGGTGGGGTGGGGGAGGACAAAGCAGTGCATCCGTGATGAATTATACATTTTCTCCATGAAAAGTTACTACAAGCAGAGCTTTACGGCAGCAGTCGCTTTCACAGGCTCCTCTTCCGTGCCCCCCAGTCCCCAGCTCACAGCACAGCTGCGTGGGCTGTCTGTGTCTGAGGCTCCCTCTTAGGCTGCAGAGTGCGATTCCAACTCAGAGCCTGTGTGGAGGGCGCCTCACTTTCCTCATCACTGAGGCAAAATAGCGGACACCCACACCTAAAGGAGGAGGGGCTTGGGGTTCACAGTTACAGTCCCAGATAAGCAGCCTCTCAGGCAGAAGTGGCGTGGTGGGATGACCCGCGTGAAGGAAAGCCGCTAGCATCATGGTGGCCAAGAAGCCGAGAGGGAAAGGCAGGCCCAGGAGGGACGCAGGTCCTAACAGGTTGCCACCCAGTGCCCAGCCTCCAACGCCCAAAGGCAGCTCATCCGCAGCACCTGATCCAAAAGTCCTTCCTCTAGACATGTGAAGTGTTTGGGAGAACGTTCTGGATCTAAACCAGTGGGGAAGGGGACACTGGGACAGTTTGGAAACAGTTGTTTGATACTTTTAGCAATGTAAAAGGTACAGTACTCAGAGTACACTCGGTAGGGAAATCTGATAGCATTTTCAATAAAAGAATTAAAAAGAAATTATTCCCCCTAAAACAGAAAGAAACTTTCAAAACAGTTTCCATAACTTCTTGACTGGATAAATTGGTAATACACACAAAAAGCTTCCAAAATACCTCTTTATTACTATATAAAAAGAAAAAATAAATGAGTATGTTTCCTACAAATTATAAAATATTGAAAATATTTAATATTTTCCCAAGTCTGCTAAGATAAAAAGACAAATTTAAAGAAGAAATCTTGGGCCAGGAAGATAGCTCAGTAGAATAAATGTTGGCCCGGCAAGCACAAGGGCCTGAGTTCAATACCCAGTTCTGCAAAAAAAAAAAAAAAAAAAAAGAGATAAAAACCTTTTTTCCATTAAACTTCTCAGGTAACTCATAACAGACAAAGAATAACTTTCTTCAGCACTTTTCTACATGTAGCTATGACATAGAAGTTATAGTTCTCCAGTGAAGTTATCTTTTTTAAAAATCAGGATAAAAATTCCATCATTTTGCAACAAAACTGGCTTAAGGTTTTACTTCTTTTGTGCTTTAAATTTGACAGTTGTGGTCAATCAGTATTGCTTAGATTTTTCAACTCAGCAGGGAGAAGAGCCTAATTAAAGACAAGACATACAATTTATTTCGTCTTTCAGGAGAAAGAAAGCACTTGTCAGTATTCCTTAAAAAGTACAATTGCCTTCTTTGTCATTTCATTGTAAGGTCTGAGGTGCTATTTCTAAACAGCACAGCTTAAATGAAACCATAAAAGTAAAGAAAGTGCTCTGGAGGGTATATTCAGTTTGACACAAGTACAGGAAACTGTACACTTTTGATGACATTAATTCAATAAAGTATATTCATTTGAGTTTCTCAATAAACCCCTCAAAAAAAAAGCCTTTCATGTTGATTTAGATGAGTGTTAAAATAAAGCTTTCTTTTCTGAAATTAGATTATGGGGTAAGCCAAGCCAGATTATCTCTACAGATGATATAGGCTATAATTATTTTCGAGGCTTCAATCACTGTTTTGGAATTGATACCTAGGTCTTTCTTTTCCCCTATTCTTTGTGGGCTTTTTAATGTGATATTTTTGGGGGAGACACTTTAGGTAGGAAATATTAGCTTTTGAAAGATAAAGGTGCAATTATCATTAGAAAAGAAAGCCCATTAAAAGGAAAGCTTCAAATAGAAAGGTTTTCTAGATTATTTTACTATGCATCCTTTTTATAAGGGTGGAAAAAGAAAGAAGTTCCTATAATATCTGTAAGATTACCCTCACATTAGCCTACTTGGGGAAAATAAAGGGCTGAGATGAGGGGCACTCAAAGGCTGCAATGGATCTATTCTAGTGCTGAGCAGTTAGCTTTACACTGATAACCTCTTTCTTGGCCTACGAAAAGCGATTGGTGCCTACATTCTTGGGACTCAGTCCCTATCCCCCTCTCACTCCAGAGAAACGAGGGAAGTTTATGCACTTGTATGTGATGAAACGTTCGTTTATCAACCATATAGGCGACCATGCAACTACTTAGCAGTCCCTTAGTATTCATGCTGAGTGTCATCATGCCGTCATATGCCTGATCTTGGGCTGGGCACTTGGCATCCTTCTGATACTATTAATAATTTTTGAAATATAATTAATTAAATAAATTTCAAAAAAACAATACTGCAGTAAGGGAATCCTGAATGGTTACTCAGGTTTAAGGGATAGGATAACTTGTAGGGCTGGGGAGATAGCTCAGTAGAATAAGTGCCTGCCTAGCAGGATAGATTGTAACCTGTATTCTGCCTTTGGAAATAATAGCCAATTACCTAAAAGGAGGTCCTTGAAGGACCAACACTATCAAATATATTTGGTGTAATCTGTAGGGTTCTTATTCACATTAAAACGCTGAGGTGTTGTTATTGTTTTGTGTTTTTTTTTTTTTTTTTTTTTTTTTTGGTATTTAGTACAGGGTCTGTAGGGTCTCACTACACAGACAGGACTTGTAGTGATCCTCCTGTTTTCAGCCTCCCAAGTGCTGGGATTACAGGCACGTGTCGCCATGCCCAGTCTCAATCGCTGTCTCAGCGTGCCCCAGGGGCGGGGCAGGCACGGGGTTACTGTTTTTAAGAGATGGGAGTCTTACTATGTTGCTCAGGTTGGCCCCAAACTTCTGAGCTCAAATGATACTCCTGCCTCAGCTACCACGCAAGCTCCCAATGCCTCCGTTTAAAACTGGATGGAAGCCAAAAACCGGCCGAAGTCCCAAATGCATCATTTTAGCATAGGTGGTAGCTGAGGTTTTAAATCAGCTTAGAGCCTACACAGATTCCCATGCCTTGATTCACAACTAAGAACCCAAGGCTCAAAATATCCCTTAAAATTTCACAAAATCGGGAAGGAGAGCCTGTCACATAAGTCTCTCCATCTGCAAAGTTTGTCAGCAGCTAAGATCCTGAGGAGTTGGGCTGGGGATGTAGTTGAGTGGCAGAGCGGCTGTCTAGCACAGAGGAAGGCCTGGTTCAATCCCTTGCAATGCCTCCGGAAGCCTGGAGAACAAATAGTTAGTTAATCTTGAATACTACAGATGTGCTTTCTCAACTCCTTCCCACATTGTATGGCTCAGTGACATCAAGACAGGCTCTGGCTTGCAGCCGCAGCAGAGGGTCCTTGATCTATACCCAGGAGTAGCAGACCTTTTGCCCTGGGCCACCTGGGAGGTCTCCCTGGGAGAGTCAAAGGTGAAAGCATCCTTCACGCCTCCATTCCACCCACTCCAGCAACTGAGAGTCATTCAAGGGTGAGTCAAAGTGATGCTGTTAGTACAAAACAAGAGCAGCAGAGTTAAATGGTTAGAAGTGTAGCCTGAGGAACCAGACGCCAGGCAGGGTGAGAATGTCAGTCCCACTGCTTAGGAGCTGTGCGGCCCGGGGCCCACTTACTAATTATTCCAAGTTTCAGATCTCTTACCTGTAAGATGGGGTAATACCCACCTCATAAAGTCTTTCTGGGCTAATTATAAAGTGCTTTGAAGAGTGTTTAGCCAGACAGTAGGGTGCCACTTTATTAAAAAAAAAAAAGACAACGGAAAAAGTAATCCTTGAGGTTTGTAAAGTGTGTATGTTGCATATTTTCACTCTAAGAGGTTTAGAATCTTGTTTGAAAAGTACAACAAGTCAGGGAGCCCCAAGACTAAGCTGAGTTTCAGAAAATCTATAGTCTACCCAGAGAAGATCTCTCCAGCTACGATGGCCCAAGCACTGCTCCAAAACAGCCTAATATAAACCCTGGCATGCAGAGCCAAACTGAGCCCACACCAGCTGCGCAGGAAGCAGAATGCTGCCCCGGAGAGAGCCAACTAGTCGTTTTCCGAAAGATTTTTTTTCCTCTCAGGGTATTTGTGTAGAATAACGATCTGAGCCCTGTCCCCAATCTTAGTTATCTGATTTTAAAACTTTATAGCTGATTCTATCTAGTTCTGAAATCACTAGGCTCCAGGAGTAATAGGAAGTGGGGGGCTGCCAGTTTATGCAATCAATGCACTGTCAGACACCTTTGAACATCTGTTCCATGTAAGGCACTGTGACAATGCTTCGGTCCTCAAGAAAAAAAGATGTAACATAAACACAATTTATATCAATTATTATTTATATTGATCATGTCCTTTCCAACTCATGTAAGTTCAAAGACTTCAATCAATACAAAGGCTTTCCAGAAATGCTTTTTGGTGATTATAACAAATATTGACACTACGTAGCTCAATCATCTTATGAGTAGGAGAAGCTAAACTGTACAGCTAGTTTCTAAAGTTGAACTTATATGGCTACATTTTAATATGTGACGGTGTATGGCTCTGTGACATTTTACATGGTAGACCTCTGGCCAGTGTCATCAAGGCCAAAGTTTCTCTTCCTGGTCGCTACGTCACTGTTTATCTCTGCATCAGATTTGTCCGCGTTGCCACCCAAGCTCATTGTTACGCCTTCCATTCCCTCTGCGGTGCCTCCGTTGGACTGGAGAATGGAGGCATCCGGTTCTTTAGGACGCTTCCACTGTGGTCTGGTGACAATCCAAAAGATGAGGGCCCCAAACAACACAATCAGAAGACCAAGGGTATTGGTGAAAATACCTTCTGGTGAGAATGTATTGTATGCAGGAGTTGTCCTAAGAAAAAAGAGAGAGTGCGTCCAATTACAAATAGGCTGGCAGTATTGAACTCATCTATTTAAAATGCACATGGATACAGCTTGAATGCAAATTCCTTTAAAGCTTGATATTAAGAATAAATTCAAGTTATATAATAATTCATACACTGCAATATTATTATTAAAAATTCTAAGAATGAAAATAATAGGGGCTGGTGAGATGGCTCCGTGGTCTAAAGCACCTACTTAGAACAAGCTTAGCAAAGCACAGGGACTGCGGTTCAATCCCCCAGCACCACATGCCAGCCAGCCCCGCCCCCTGGTGGGCTGAGCTGGCCCCCCCCACACACCAATAAATAAAAAAAAATTTATAAAAAAAGAAAATAATATAGCACTTGGAACACCTGTGTCACTTAAAACTTGGGGGAAAAAGAAACAAAAATGCATGTGTACTATAATTACAAATAATAGATCCTGTAACTCAGTGGTGTGCCAAATTTTCTGTTCAAGGAGATCATAGGACCACAGAGGAAAGTGATTGATGATGTAGAGTGTGCCTAAGGAGAGTCACCTCGAGAGAAAACGTTCTCTCAGGCTTTCACAGAGAGCAAATTGGTCAAGCAATGGCTGTGACTCATCCACATGGCTGACACTGACAAAAGATCTACAAACTGCTGTACATGGTTTCAGGGTAAATCCTGAGGGGATTTGACTGACCTTGTCAGACCCAAAAGTTAGACTTTTTGTTATATAGGTCTTGCTTTATCTTGCTCTTACCCATCCAGCAGAAAAGTATAAACACAAAGTATAAAAAGTAAAGTCATATTAATGTGCTGAACTGTAGAAGGCCCAAGTCAACAACTTCTAACATTGCCAGTCCTGTGGATAACCCACTACTACTACTAGACTATATAGGATTATTTTGCTGAATTCACTCACCTACTATATTTGAATGGCAATGGAATACCCTTCTCTGACAAAACTAAACAAAAAAGGAAGAGATAAATGGAGGACCATTTTGTAGTGAAAAATATATATAATCTGTACATACAAATTAGTTAGGATAGATATACAGCTACTTTCTCTTAGTTCAATGAGAAGATTTGTACTAATAGTGTTTGGACAGGACATCATGTCTGCATCTTGTACTATGAATAACTACTATGAAGACAACAATGTGCAATGTATTAATTATTGTAACTGTCCTACTAACCTGTTTTGAAACTGTCTCATTGCTATTTCTTTCTCAATAAAATTAATTTAAAAAAATATAAAAACCTACAGGACTGGGCTCTAGCTCAGCAGCACAGGGCCTGCCTGGTAAGTGCAAGGTCCTGAGTTCAATTCCCAGTATAAAAACAACAACAAAAAAACCAAAAGCCCCCATGAAACAAAACAAACCATGAATACCAAAGACTGAGAGGTAACATCTAGTTTCCATGTTTTTTGTGACAGTAGTCCTGCTTAACTTTTAGTAATGTCATATTAATGTATAATTAAGTATTTTAAAAATAACCATGTGAAGGCTTAATTTTTTTAATATTGTTACATTTAAATTACATTTTCCTAATGAACAAGTCTGAACATTTTATAGCTAAAATATTGTGATTAGGAAGATCATGCAACTTACTGGCCAGAGAACAGCTTCTCTGTAATTCCCATAAGGATCGTCATAATCACCGTTCCGAAGAGGAAAAGTCCAGAATAAACATGTATGGGCATGACAATTGCTCGGAGAGAAAGTGGCGCCCAAGGGAGCAGGAAGATGCAGAAACCTAGGACAAGCTGAACACCAAAGAGCACGAAGGTTAGCACTTTGTCTTAATTACTTTTAACTTACTATTATAAAAGCAAATGGGAAAAATGGGAAACTCTTTACATAGAACAAAGAAGCATGAAATGGAAAAAAATAAGCTTCCCTGCTCCGGTTCCACTACCCAGGGGTAACCCTGTGATAGTCACCTACTTATGGGCCCTTCCAGAAGATGCCTATTCCTGTACAAGCATATGTGTGCGATCTCTCTCTCTCTCTCTCTCTCTCTCTCTCTCTCTCTCTCTCTCTCTCTCT